GCCACTTGGGTTAATGATACTCAGTTTGTCCACGGAGTGGCAGTAGCAACTGTGAGAATCAGTCTCAGCTGGGGTTCCTTCTGTCTATAGAAAGTGAAAGACAGACTGTTATTCAAATTCCACTTGCAAAAAAAGCCTTCTTATGTTAAATACCTGGGCATTTCAGGAAGAAGTTTTATTAGACTTAAATTGTGAAGGCAGTTTCTCATTTGAGGAAAAGAGCGATAACATGTTTCAGTTAAAATGTCAAGATCCTTTGATTGCACAGTTTCCTAGGATAAATTATTCTAGCCACTGGAGCAGAAACTGGCTAATCAAAGGCACAGCACACAGTTTCACTTCTGTATATCATTCTCTTTTTTGAAAATAATAGCTGGAATTTTTTTTTAAGTGAAGTAACAATTTACCACCCCAACTCAGAGGCCATATTAGCTTGATAACTTCTTCATGGTTGCTGGTGAGTTCAGGCTTAAATCATCAGCTGCAGCGCACAAGTGTTTGCACTTGACCTTTCCAAGTGAGACGTCAAACGTCTTGGTAGTGGGTGGGTTTGAGCAAAGCTGCCCACACTGGAACCTTTGTGGAGCTTCTTGTTCCAGGCAGAGACCAGTCCCGGAGAAGCTCATGACCAGCACGCTCAGATGCTACAACCAGATAACAAGAAGCAGCTAGAAGACTTTCTGGGAAATAAAAGATCATTTTTGTGATTTCTTTCAATTCAGATCATGTAAATTAGGTGGAGAGAGACATTATTTCCCCTGTTTGTGTAAAAGGATTTAGACAAGGACATCTCGAATTCATAAGAATAGTTTAAAAACTGTTGGAACTTTCTAGTGTTTTTCTTGGCATTCTGTCACTCTGCATAGAAACGTATGTTATGCTGATTCCTAATGATTTAGCAGGTCCCTGAGGCTTTGTTCCACAGGATGTGACATTTCCTCTGCCAACTTTTCCTGCCTCCTTTCCCGCCTCCTTTCCCAGTCATAAGACTGCTGTTCTCCCTGACAAGTAAAGAATGACAAGATCTCTTATTAGAAAGGTATTTTATGTATCTTTTAAAGATTTTTTTAATGTATATACCTGCCTCTGAAATTGTCTTACTACGAATGCCTTAATAATAATCATTTTATTGCAAGAGGCACTATTGTAATAGCATAGCTAGGAAGGAAACACAGCTAATTATTAAGATGAATCATTTAGCAAGGTGAGGAAAAATCCCTTGTGTGTAAAAATATCTAGTGATTGACATGTTACCAAATTTACACGAAATAGATTTCCGTGTAATTGAGACTGATTTTTCCTCTTAGATGCACAGAGAACCTTCCTGATCAGGACTGGTGTTGGGGGAATGATTTTCTTAGGAAACAAGAAGCAGAGCTTCTGTAGAGCCATTGAGATCAGGATGCTTGCTTAAAGATGCCACTCTGCATCTCTCCCTACCCGCCCAGCGTTTGCTGTCTCATGACACTTCCTATTGGCTTATTGTAAGGACTTTGACTTCTACACTGCATGAGCTGAGAAGTCACTGGAAGAGTTTGAGAGGTGTGTCTTGGTAGACTTAGGCTTTCTCTGGATCTCCTCTTATGAGTCCGGAATGGAAGAGGATGAGGACAAATGCAGGGGGATGTTAGGAGGCCACTGGGCAGGTTCCTGTCATTTCTCTCTCTGTGATTATCTTTGCCACCACGTGACTTTCTCCTTCAGGCCTCTGCTCAAACATCACCCTCTCATCGAGGCCTTTCCTGACTGCACTGCTTAAAATTGTCCCCCTTACCCCACCTTACCACCTTCACTGCCTCATTTCTCCTTTTCACTTATCACCATCTGACATGGTCATCCAGAGCATGAGCCCCACGAGGAAGGATCTGTCTTGTCCACTGTTGGACCCTGACACCTACCTCTGAGGCTGGCCCACAGTTGGGCATTGCATGGCTGTCTGAAGCCAGCACCCTCCTGGTTCTGCTGTTCGCTGGAAGTGGGGTTTAGGGCACCTCATGAGCCAAGACCCTTATATCAGAGGGCACAGTGTGCCCTTAGGGGGCCTGCACATGGTCACCTCAACCGTGCATTCACACTGGGCACTTCCTGCAGTTTACTCTCCTATGTCAGATGCCCTCCAGGGAAAGCAAGTACGCTGCCACCTTGTCACACCTCTAGTTACCATTTTCTTTATGGACCAGGGCTTGACCAGCTCTAAAGATGGGTCAGCTGCTGTATTTTCAAGAACCCCATGACTTCCAGAGCCCCTTGTTCGCAGGGAGCCCCTGCACCCCCTCATCCTGTGCATAGCATCATGGGCCAGCCTCTGGTAGCTGCTGGAAGGCATCAGGGGAGGCCTGGTCTTCCAGTCCTGCCTCTAGTCCTGCCACTTTACAGCTGAGCAGCTCCTGATGCAGCCTGCCCAGCCCTTCCGAGTCCTTGCCTCAGACCCTGTTTACTCTTTCCTAAGAAGGTATGTGTGATGCCAAAGAGAGAAAAGCAGCCTTTGCTAATTTGGGTAAAATGTCTCTTTGGGAAGGGCAAACTGATGTACAGTTGTCCCTTAGTATCTATTAGAGACTAGTTTCAGGACCCCTGTCGATTCCAAAACCCTCAGATGCTCAAGTCCCTGGTATCAAATGGTGTTGAATTTGCATGTAACCTAAACACTTGCTCCTCTGCACATTAAATCATCTTTAGATCCCTTGCACTACCTAATACAACCTAAATCTATATAAATGTTATACTGTATTGTTTTTAAATTGTTATTATTTTTTATTGTTGTGCTGTTATTTTTATGCCCCCCCCACTCTGCCCCCCTTCCCTAGTAACTTCAATCCAAGGTTGGTGGAATCCATGGATGCAGAAACAATGGATACTAAGGGCCAGCTGACTAGACCTATTTTTATTATAATTACTCATTCTCTTCTACTTCATTAAGCTTGGTTCTTTCAAGCATAAATACCTGGTTGAATCTGCATAACCTCTTATAATCGACCTACCTTTGTTCACACACAAATGATTGCCACTTACAGCTCTCCTAGCAGGCTCCTTTTGTAAAATAAATTTTATTTTCTCAAGATAGAAAGAAATGTGATACCTTGCAGGTTCTGCGGTTTCCTTGTTTTGCTGGATTGCAAGTCCTTTAGACTTAAATGTTCTGTACCCCCACATCGGTGGTACGCAGCTCTCAGTTGAGAGAGAGATGTATTGTGAATGCCACTCTTGGCCCCAAGCGCTTCTGACTTGCCTCCTCTGGAGACTGATTCATATGCTCCTGCCTCAGTTTCCACACCTCTTAGTGAGACCTCTGCCTTATGCTTCAGAAATACTGTCAGTATGACTTTAAAGATGAAAGTTCACCCCCAAACCACTTTCTGTTATCATTGTGAGACCAGAGACAGAATGGAAAAATGGATTTTTGTGACATTTTAAATTATTCCTTGCTTGTCTTTAGAGGCAAAATTCAGATAAGAAAGCTTATCAATTATACTTTTGTTTCTACTGGAAAACTCATGACTGCTCACTCAAAGCCTCCTTGTTCGTATCTTAAAACATTGTTTACGGTATCCCAGATGAATGGGAGCAAATCCTGGGGTTTGGTGTTTGGATGTTACATTTATTCCCGGGGGAAACAACTAACAGTTTGAGGTGGAGCAGAGTTGGGGTGGGAGAATACTTCGAATTCTGAGGAATATTTAATTTTGACAAGATGAGCATTCTTAGTGCTTAGTCTGTTGCTGGAAATAACTATGGTTTGTTTGACAAAAAAATAAAGAAATTTGTAGCCTAGGAGTTTGGTTTTAAAATGCAAACACAGGAGTTCTGAGTTGAGACCTGGACAGGGTATAATTTTCTTTTTAAAGGGCAGCAATATGATTCCTTGATTTGTCTTTGTTCTCTTGACTTTTAATCCGGATTCCTGGGCAGTTGGTCAGCCCCAGGACATCTCCCCGGGCAGGTGGCCCGGCCTTGGCACACTACCCAGTTAATCTCTGCCCAAGAGGATGCTTCAGCTGGGAGGCCAGGCTGATTTTTTAAAGGCAGAATTGAACTATTTACTCTAAAACACTCAGTAACACCCAGTGTTTGGAAAGAACATTCCTATTCTGGGAGGAAGCAGAGACACATACAAGTGTCATTTATTTCTAGTCTTTTCTGGTAGAAGCTATGAAGCTGAGTTTACTCTCTGGAAATTTGTAGTTTGTTTTCTAGAAAATTGCATTTTATCACTGCAAAAGGATTTCCTTTCCAAATAGGTGTGCTTTTGAGCAAGAGTTCTGGAGTCACCGAGACAGGGTTAAGGAAGTGATCATGTGCAATGGCAGCTCTCAAGCTCAAGGAGAAAAAAGTAACATGCTTTTACTGGGAGACTTTGCTTGTCTGCAGAAGAAAGCAGCTATTGGCATTTATATAGAAGTCAGTCGTTTCTTGGCACCAAATAAATAATGTGGTGCTGAATAAAGGGAGAGTTATCCATAATATTTATTACTGGCCAAAGAAACACAAGGAGAATTGTAATCCATCAGGTTTTGATGGCCAGGAAAGCCAAGCTGTGTTATTAGGATAGTGACAATCACAGCTGGTACGGGTGGCTGACCTGTAGCACGTTTGTGTGGATAGAGGGCAGAGGGTAGGGTGTGAAATATATCACAGAGTTATGTCAAATACTCTGGATGATTACCATTCCTTAAAATTGAAGTGCGCAGCTAGAAAAGTGGGTAGTGATGCACTACAGTCTTGCTGAACACTGGGTAAGAAAATCATGGCAAACGTTGAGTCTGTTTTGGAAATGTTCTAAAACCAGCCTATTAACACAGTGAGCCATTTTAAACGTGGCTTGCTACGTGTTTGGAGAGAAACACATACTCTTTTATTAGGAACATGAAACAAACTCTTTGAGCTGCAGTATCACTGCCGGTGAGTTTAATTGCTGGGATTAATAAATCACAGCTGCGGACGTTAAATTCTTGGCAGGATTCTTTATTCAGCTGTTTTCCTCTTGCCCCATTACATTCCAGATTTATGGTCTGCATTATGTCTGGAACCAGAAGTAAGCTTGCTCTTTTCCTCTGTGGCTGTTACGTGGTTGCCCTGGGAGCCCACACCGGGGAGGAGTGCGTGGCCAGACATCACGAGGCTGAATCTTACGTGGCTGCCGTGTACGAGCATCCATCCATCTTGAGTCCGAACCCTCTGGCTCTCACCAGCCGCCAGCAGGCCTTAGAGCTCATGAACCAGAACCTTGACATCTATGAACAGCAAGTGATGACTGCAGCCCAAAAGGCAAGAAATGCTCATCAGAACCTGAGTTTCTCTTGTAGAACAGAGCAAATTGCTCTTTACCCCTTGATAGGTGGTTGGGTAATCCCAGACTTCCTACAACTCCTCTGAAAAATCATCCAGCTAGTTAACCTGAGCTGAATTAGTCACTTGGATTAGGAGTCTTACTCCTCAGAGGGTGGTCTGTGGACCTGCAGCATCAGCATCCCGTGGGAGCTTGTTAGAAATGTAGAATCTTGGGCGGCACCCTAGACCTGCTGAATCAGAATGTGCATTTCAGCAGGATCCCCAGGTGATGCTTTCGCACGGCAAGTATGAGATGACCTGGACTAGATCCCCGGTTCTCAAGTGTGGTTGTACCTAAGAATCACCAGGCAAGTTGTAAACAAATATGGCTGCCTGGATCCCGGACAGTTTGTTGTAATTGGTCTGGATGGCGTGTGAACTGGGCATTGGGATTCTTTGAAGGCTCCCAGGGCAGTCTAATGTGCAGAAAACTTTGAAGACGCCTGGGTGTGATGACATCTCTGAGTCATTCAAAGCTTAACTGAAGTAGAAAGCATCTGTGAGACTGCTGTTTTGCTCCCTTCAGACTGTTTGGGACCCATTTCCGGTCTCTATACCAGACTCTGAACAGTCTGAGACCTTTGCCCAGACAGAATTGACCCAAAACTGACAAAGGGAAGGTTAGTGCTAGCCTTTGTGAAGGCTTCCTGCTTCGCCTGCATTTCTTGCTCCCTCCAGGAAGGGTGGAGACAAAAGAGAGGTCCCCCCCTGGGGCAAAGAGGGAAATGTCGGTGCCAGAGATTGCCTAAGAAAATGCCCTGCTGGAAAACACACCCCCAAAGGGAAGTTTGGGCTGTAACTCTGGTGGCGGGGTGACCAAGCGCGGCTGCTTGGGGAACCTCTGCTCTGCTTCAACAGGATGTACACTCATTGTGAGCAATACTTTCCTGCTCTCTGTGAATGCAAAGGGCAGAACCAGCCCTGCTAACAGATCCTGCCCCAAACAGTCTCTGCCTTAGAGCAAGGTGGTCAGGATGGCCTGGACAGCCACAGCAATTTAAAAATTAATACATTTAAAAATTTTAGTATATAATATATATACATAGGCTGTGTGTGTGTTGGGGGTGTGTGGGGAGCGTGGGGGTGTGCAGGTGTGTGTGTGTGTACAACATGATGTAGAAAGGGAACTTGAAGATTTAGTCCAGCTTCTGATGAGTGATACATTTTTTTTTTTTCAACCAAGATCAACTTTTGCAAGCGTGACACCTTTCTTTAGTGCCAACCTGACATCTGGTTTCTCCTTGAACACCTTCAGTGGCTGAGAACCCTCAGTCTCACAGGCCCATTTGTTCCAAGGTAGGAACTTCTAGACAGGTCTTCCTTTCAATGGGCAGCAGTCAGCCTCCCTGTAACTGCCGCCATGGTTCTGACCTCAGAGCTAAAGGGAGCAGACCGTGTCCCTCACCACAGCATGCCATCTTCTCCACCTTTGAGGATAGCTGTCATGGCCCCCTGGCATCTTCTCTAACCCCCGCCAGCCCCTGGCTATATATCCTCAGTCCTTCCACAGTTCCTCAGGAGACTCGGTTTCCAAACCTTCTTTAAGGAATTCCACGTTTTCTCTGTGCTGAGAACTGTATGCAGCTCTCCTGACTGCCTAACCAGGGCAGGGTGGAGAACTCTCACCTCTCTCATTCTAGATGCTGTCCCCAGAAAATTGCTGGCAGCCATGTCTCACTGTGGGTGTACAAAGCACTTGCTGTCAACTAAAACACCTTTTGACACGAGCAGACACACATGCTGCTCTTGCCATCCTGTACTTATAAAGGTGATTGATTTGAGCTAAGAGCAAGACTTCTTACTTATGCTGTTCAATTTCATCATCCCAGCCTGTTGGACTATTTAGGGATCTTTACTGACATCCCAAGTATCAGTTACTCACGTCATTCACACATTTGATACACACCTCATTTATGTCTATGCTGAAGTCGGTGTAAAAAAATCCCAGGCTGTGCCCTCAGACCTCCTGATGACACTGATCTAGAGGGCAGCCATTCTCTTGATAGAGATGTTTGCCTGCATGGCACTGAGTCCAGCACTTGAAATGTCATCTGTGTCTTGCTTCTCTACCCTGTCCACAGGACCATTCTGAGATGTTTGGCAAATGACACGCTGAATCCCAGACTGTGACTGTAGAATATTCCTGCATTCACCTTTTAATAACCTGCCTCCAAAGGAAACACATAACACGGTTTTATTGAGCCCCCACCAGCTGCACAGCATCGCCCCATCTCTATTTGTTTTCCAGGAGCCAGGATGAAGCTGTTGATATGATCACTTTTAGAATTTACAGATATCTCAGTTCCCATACCTGGTTATATGTTTCAAAGAAACTTCTAAGACAAATTGATGGCAGGTTCATGTGAAAGTTTTATATCAAAGTTATTAGAGTTTTCTGAGAAAACCAATTGAAATACAGTCATGCATTGCTTAATGACAGGGATGTGTTCTGAAAAGGATGCATCATTAGGCCTCTTTGTCATTGTGCATACATCATAGCATGTACTTACACAGACCTAGATGGTACAGCCTACTACACACCTAGGCTATATGGTATGGTCTGTTGTTCCTAGTGGGTGGATCACTTGAGGTCAGGAGTTTGAGTCCAGCCATCTCTACTAAAAATAAAAAAAATTAGCTGGGTGTGGTGGCACGTGCCTATAGTCCCAGCTACTTGGGAGGCTGAGGCAGGAGAATCACTTAAACCTGGGAGGCAGAGGTTGCACTGAGCCGAGATCACGACACTGCACTCCAGCCTGGACAACAGAACAAGACTGTCTCTCAAAAAACAAAAAAACGTTTAATTTTTATACCCTTTGACCCAGTAATTTTACTTTTAAGACTTTATTGTAAAGAAATAATCGAGAGGCACTACAAGATTTGTGTACAGTAAGTGTAAAATTATGCAGTGTTTTGAGTACACTTTGCAGATGGTCACCACAGTTTTCTTTCTTTTTTTTTTTTAGATGGAGTCTCTCTCTGTCACCCAGGCTGGAGTACAGTGGCATGATCTTGGCTCACTGCAACCTCCACCTCCTGGGTTCAAGCGATTCTTCTGCCCAGCCTCCTGACTAGCTGGGATTACAGGTGCCCGCCACACCACACCCACCTAATTTTTGTATTTTTTAGTGGAGATGGGGTTTCACCATGTTGGTCAGGCTGGTCTCAAACTCCTGACCTTGTCTCCGCCCACCTCAGTCTCCCACAGTGCTGGGATTACAGGCATGAGCCACCACACCAGGCTCAGTTTTCTTTTTATTACGAACAACTGGGAACATTTTAAATTCCAATAATAGAGGATAAACCATAGCGTCCTCATAAACATAATGTGTCCCCATTACAGATGTATTTTTGAAAGGTTTTTGTGTATGTGACAGAGTTTCACTCTGTCACCCAGGCTGGAGTGCAGTGGTGCAATCTTGGCTGACCGTAACCTCTGCCTCCTGGGTTCCAGTGATTCTCCTGCCTCAGCCTCCTGAGAAGCTGGGATTACAGGCACCCACTATCATGCCTGGCTGATTTTTATATTTTTAGTAGAGACGGGATTTCACCATGCTGGCCAGGCTGCTTTTGAACTCCTGACCGCATGTGATCTGCCCACCTCAGCCTCCCAAAGTGCTGGGATTACAGGTGTGAGCCACCATGCACGGTCTTAGTTTTGAAAGTTCTTAATCAGAAAAGTCAAGATGCAAAACCATATATTTATTATCTCCATTATATACATATATACAGAGAGAGCAAAATTAATGAAAATAACCAAATATTGACAATAAGTGCCTGTTACAGAATTATGATTGTTTTTTCCCCTGTTTTCCAAATTTTCTACAGCTAAGCTTTTGAAGTTTTTATAAGCAGGAAGAAAATTTAAAAGTTTGCAATGCATTCCAGAAATAAGTGTCTCAGACTTTGCTAATTTAAATTATTCATGCCCTCCTGCCTGCCTTCTCCACCTTGCTTCCTAGGGCTGGTGTTCCCCGGCTTGACATTTTCAACTGTGTAAGTGGAGAGCAGTGAAGAATGACACCCCAGCCCTGAGAGCTGAAGGCTGCCCTGTTTGTATTTCCTTGGGTTGCTGTAGATGTCACAGGGAGTCCCAGGCCATCACAACCAGGGGGCACAGGATGTTGTCAGGTGTGGGAAAAGGCCTTAAGGTGTCCGAGTCCCGAAGGAAGCCTCCTAATTTCCAGCTGGAGAATGGAGATTTCAAACGAGTTCTTGTTTCTAGGCTGAGATCAACACACTTGCCTCTTACCCACTGGCCCAGTGTGTCCTAACCTTGGCTACAAATGAGAATCACCTGGGGGACCTTTAAACAAACACTGTTGCCAGTATCCCACCCACAGTCAATTCAATCAGACTTTCAGGGGTGGGCCCCAGCATCAGTGATTTTTCAGAAGTTCCCCACCTGATTTAGATGCACGGTGAAAGTTGACAACCACAAGATACGACATGTGTTAATGGGTGCAGTGTATTCAAGGCCCTGTAGTCGGCTGCATCTCCCCTGGCATCCTAAGAACTCTAAATCCCTTCTAGCTGTTTGCTTGTCAAACTCCTGAGTTTACTTTGAAAGGAGCTTACTCATTCCCTCCTTTCCTCACATGACCCCAGGCACAGTTAGTGGTTGTTCCTAGAGGACTTTGTCTTTGTTCCTTCAGGATCAGGTCAAGTGAGACAGCATCCCCAAGACTTAAGATCTCTGAGGAGAGTAAAGGCACCATCTCTGTACCTCTGGTTCCTGGTGCGGAGTAACTTCTTGATGGTTATCAAATGAATGAACAAAAGAATGAAAGAATGCAGTGATGTCCCATCATCTGGTAACAGACTATTCTTTGATGTTTTCATTTTCAGGGTGTACAGATTATGGTGTTTCCAGAAGATGGCATTCATGGATTCAACTTCACAAGAACATCCATTTATCCATTTTTGGATTTCATGCCGTCTCCCCAGGTGGTCAGGTGGAACCCATGCCTGGAGCCTCACCGTTTCAATGACACGGAGGTGATTCTGGCCCTTTTCCTCAGTAGGCTGAGGGTACACAGAGATGAACTAAGTCAGGAACCAAAAGCTGTGACATGTTAATTGAAATCAAAAGGAGACCTTAGGATCCCAAACTCCCAAAGATCCATGTGCCACATATTCATTCCATTAAAGAGAGTCTGATGTTACAAGGCACTTACTCATCTATGGATCTTTCCGTTTATTAATTACACAAGAAATACATGAATGTGCACTTAAACCAAACCAAAAGTCAACAAGGCCAAGTTCTTCTTCACCACAGCCTGCCCTCATCCTATGCCTTTTCTTAGAGCAACTGCCACTATTTGATGTACATTCAGCTATATTCTTTTCTATGTATCTCATAGCTATTGACATCCTCTTTTTATGCATACTCTATGCTTATTTGTTTTTAAATTTTCGCTATTATAAGCAAAGTTTCAATGAATATCCTTGTACATATATTTTTGTAAATATATTCAAGTTTTTCTGTAAGATAAAATTTTTAGAAATGGAATCCCTCAAAGGATATGTACATTTTAAATTATATTAAGAGTATAGGCTGGATGCAGTGGCTCATGCGTGTAATCCCAGCACTTTGGGAGGCCAAGGTCAGTGGATCATGAGGTCAGGAATTTGAGACCAGCCTGGCCAAGATGGTAAAACCCCGTCTCTACTAAAAATTCAAAAATTAGCTGGGCACTGTGGTGGGTGCCTATAATTCCAGCTACTTGGGAGGCTGAGATAGGAGAATTGCTTGAACCTGGGAGGTGGAGATTGCAGTGAGCGGAGATCACACCAACACACTCTCACCTGGGTGACAGAGTGAGACTCAGTCTCGAAAAAAAGGGCCGGGCACGGTGGTTCACACTGGTAATCCCAGCACTTTGGGAGGCCAAGGCTGGTAGATCATGAGGTCAGGAGTACAAGACCAGCCTGGCCAAAATGGTGGAACCCTGTCTCTACTAAAATACAAAATTAGCACGCACCTGTAGTCCCAGCTACTCAGGAGGCTGAGGCGGAGAATTGCTTGAACCTGGGAGGCGGAAGTTGCAGTGAGCTGAGACCATACGATTGTACTCCAGTCTGGGTGACAGATTGAGACTCCATCTCAAAAAAAAAAACAAGAATTAAAAGAGAGTACCAAAGAGTACTAAATTTCCCCCTTAAAAATCTCTGATTTCACTACAGCTTCAGTAATCCAGTAATATAGTATGAGTGCCTCTTTTCCCATCCTTTGGTCAATGCAAGATATAATCTTTTTTTTTTTTTGAGACAGTCTCGTTCTGTCGCCAGGCGCCAGGCTGGAGTGCAGTGATGCAATCTCCGCTCACTGCAACCCCCGCTTCCCAAGCAATTGTTCAAGCAATTCTCCTGCCTCAGCCTCTGAAGCAGCTGGGACTACAGATGCACGCCACCATGCCCAGCTAATTTTTTATATTTTAGTAGAGACGGGGTTTCACTATGTTGGCCAGGATGGTCTTGATCTCTTGACCCCGTGATCCGCCTGCCTCGGCCTCCCAAAGTGCTGGGATTACAGGCATGAGCCACCACTCCCAGCCCAGAATAATCTTTTGAGCCTATGCACAGTGGTTCACATCTGTAACCCCAGCATTTTGGGAGGCTGAAACTGGCAGATAGCTTGAGCTCATGAGTTCAAGACCAGCCTGGCCACTATGGTGAAACCCCTCTCTACAAAAATACAAAAATTAGCTGGGCAAAGTGTTGCATGCCTGTAGTCCCAGGCATTGGGGAGACTGAGGTGAGAGGATGGCTTGAGCCTGGGAGGCAGAGGTTGCAGTGAGCCAAGATTATGCCACTGCACTCTAGCCTAAGCAACAGAGCCAGACCCTGCCTCAAAAAAAAAAAAGAAAAAGAATAATCTTTTGAATTTTTGCCAGTCTTAAGAAGGTGAAAAATGATGGATATCTCATTGTTTTAATTTGCATTTCTCTCTTACTAATGAGATTGAGAATCTTTTGAGATGTTTGTGGGCCATTTTCCTTTATTCTTCTGTGAATCACCTGTTTACAAGCTTTGCACATTTTCATTAGTGGTTGCTTCTTCCTTATTGATTTATTCTTTTTTTATATAAGTTTTTTTCTACTCTTTTGCTGATAAAGACATACCCAATTGATTTATGATAGCTATTTATTATGGATACAGTATAAATACTTTTGTATTTGAAAACTGTGAGAGCCAAGTACGATGGTGCATACCTGTAGTCCCAGCTTCTTAGGAGGTTAAGACAAGAGGATTGCTTGAGGCCAGGAGTTCAAGTCCAGCCTGGACAATATAACAAGACCCTGTCTCTAAAAAAAAAAAAAAATAAAGCAAAACGAAGGATTTTAAAACTCATTTATTTATCCTATAGGTGCTCCAGCGCCTGAGTTGTATGGCCATCAAGGGAGATATGTTCTTGGTGGCCAATCTTGGGACAAAGCAGCCTTGTCATATCAACGACCCAGGGTGCCCAGATGATGGGAGATACCAGTTCAACACAGATGTCGTGTTCAGCAGTAATGGAACCCTGGTTGACCGCTACCGCAAACACAACCTCTACTTTGAGGCAGCGTTTGATGTTCCTCTTCAAGTGGATCACACCACCTTTGATACCCCCTTTGCTGGCAGGTTTGGTGTCTTCACATGCTTTGATATATTGTTCTTCAGCCCTGCTGTCAGACTCCTTAGAGACTATGAGGTGAAGCACGTTGTGTACCCGACTGCCTGGATGAACCAGCTCCCACTCTTGGCAGCTATTGAGATTCAGAAAGCCTTTGCTGTTGCCTTTGGTGTCAATGTTCTGGCAGCTAACGTCCACCACCCAGTTCTGGGGATGACAGGGAGTGGCATACACACCCCTCTGAAGTCCTTTTGGTACCATGACATGGAAAACCCCAACGGTCGCCTTATAATTGCCCAGGTGGCCAAAAATCCAGTGGGTCTCATTGATGCAGAGAATGCAACAGGTGAAATGGACCCATCCCATAGTAAGTTTTTGAAAATCTTGTCAGGCGATCCGTACTGTGAGAAGGATGCTCAGGAAGTCCATTGTGATGAAGCCACCAAGTGGAACAGGAATGCTCTTCCCATATTTCACTCTGAGATGATGTATGACAATTTCACCCTGGTCCCCGTCTGGGGAAAGGAAGGCTATCTCCATGTCTGTTCAAATGGCCTCTGCTGTTATTTACTTTATGAGAGGCCTACCGTATCCGAAGAGCTGTATGCCCTGGGGGTCTTTGATGGGCTTCACACAGTACATGGCACTTACTACATCCAAGTGTGTGCCCTGGTCAGGTGTGGGGGTCTTGGCTTCGACACCTGTGGACAGGAAATCACAGAGGCCACAGGGATCTTTGAGTTTCACCTGTGGGGGAACTTCAGTACTTCCTATATCTTCCCTTTGTTTCTGACCTCAGGGATGACTCTGGATGTCCCTGACCAGCTTGGCTGGGAGAATGACCACTATTTCCTGAGGAAGAGTGGGCTGTCTTCCGGCCTGGTGACGGCGGCTCTCTATGGGCGCTTGTATGAGAGGGACTAGGAAAAGGACATGGTCTGTGGGGTGGACTCCGGCCATCATGTCGACAGGCTTCCACAGGCCACAAGCCCTGGGACCACCTCTCTGCCTGCAGGGCAGGAGCCCATTTTTGTGGCACCAGATTCCGCCCTGGGAATTGTGGGAGCAAGTAGGAGAGGCAGATTCCCTCAGTGTCTTCCTCTTAAACCTCAATTATTGAGACATTAGCTGATATTTTCTATTCACATTTGTCTTTTTCAAGCCGCATCTTCCTCTAACAAATCTCAGTATGCAACTGGTCTCAAGCTAAAACAAAAATAAATGTCAGTTTATATTTTACACATCCACAAAGCAGTGGCTTGGTTTTTTTTTTTTTTTTTTTAATTTTGATCAAGTGACACCCAGGACATGTAAATACTTCATAAGCCTTAAACATTTTCTGAGGTAAGAAACAAACTCTCAAAGCAAAAGCTCTATTAGAAATGGCCCCTGTGGGGAACTTTCCCATTCTGGCCATCCAGAATTCTATCCAGATGAAATGGCAATGCTAGTGCCACCAGCAACGTCAGAATTATAGACCTTAAAGCGGCTCTTGAAAATAGAAAAGAAGTGTTTCTCACATCTGCCAGTAATGGAATTTTCTGTCAGTAAATGGAATGTGTGGGCAGGACTTGGAATAACTGGAGAGGGTGCAGTGCTTTGGGGTGAAGGGCAGGCAGGGACTGGAAAATGCTGAGACGGGGGCAGCCATGGGAAGTACTAGAATTCTTTCTGTACAGCACAGCTCATCCAGGGATTCCAAGGGCCTTAATAAATCACGGTAGCTTTGGGCAAGAGTTGGGCACGTTGCCCGACTGTGCAGGATGGTTTGATGCTGGTATAATTTGATCTGGAGCCCTGTAGAGGATCTCCTTACTTTGCAGCGATGCATGGCACCCCGTGGAGATAAGTTGCCACGAAGGGCATGAAGGGTGACCCACTTTAGTCACGCATTTATTCAGTCACCCAACAGGCACAGAGCAGGTGCTTCCCGTGTTAGGAATTCCTAATGCAAAATTATCAGTTTCAGTATGGTGAAGGCATTTTTAGGCTACTGATTTCTGTGTAATTTGTGTCCAACATTTCAAAGCCATTTAAAAAAGGGATTTTGACTTCATGCCTAGTAACTGTTTCAGGTCACTTTTTAAGTGCAGAATGGATAATTAGCATTCAGCTATTTGCCTCTTAAATGTGGCCATTTTGTTTGAACTCCTTTTTCATTTTTTTAAACAGTATATGCTTAAACACCACACGATTTTATACAGCAAGAAAATGAACTGATCTGCCTGTTCCCTCACAGTGCAGGCATAATTAACGACATGCATGGATTCTGCAGTCAGACTGATGGGGTTTCCAGGCATCGCCTCAGCATTTACTCCTCACTGGAGAGACCTCGGGCCCCGGTTTTTTATTCGCAGAATGCATGTTGAATAACCGCATGGGAAAAAGCAAAGCCAGCTCCAGCCCCTGCTGACTCACTGCTCCCTGGAAGAGACCCGGGATGAGTCAAGTCTTCAGGGAATAAGCAGGAAGGACTTGGAATTCCTGAGCAAGCCCTAGGTTCCCAGCGCCCTAGGAAGTCCCTCTGGAAGGGGAGCAGAGCCTCTCCCACCAGATGACAAGTTCATCTTCCTGCCCAGTGCAGATTCCACCAGGCGTGAGCTGTCAGGCCAGAAGTGGCCCCAGATGTGGCTGTCCACCGCCTACTCTGTTTCCCTGCCTCAAACTCCAGGGAGACAGAAATTACCTAAAAATGCATATCTTTGCTTTATGCCAAGATGATTCAAGTAAGCCTGCGAAAGAGAGAGAGGCCAGTTCTAAATACAGACTTGGCAGAACTACTTCACCCAATAAACCTTGAATAAGCACCTGCAGGATTCTCATTCTCCCTTCTGGGCGGGGCACCACAAACTTTCCCTAAGTGATTTTCTACCGAGAATTTAGAATGAATTGCTCATGAAGTAGAAATGAAGGGAAAAGCAGATAATGGTGGTAGAACAAAGCTGTTTTTACCATTAAAAGAAGTAGCTGCTAGATGACAGAACACAGTAGAGGACAGGAAAATAAACCATTTTCAGGGAAAAAATGTACCCTATGACTGATGGCTGTGATATGCTTTTGTCAATTGTGATCTTGAAATTCAGGAAGCAAATGGCAATCTTGACCACAGCGTGGAGGCAGGAAAGCAAATGCCTTTTTGGCTAAACCAAGCTGGGGGGAAGTAGCTTGGTTGGTGTGGTTTCTTGTGTAGGTGCAGCTGTGCTTTTCTGTGGTTTTTCTTGCACGGGAAGTGAGAGGCACAGTGAGCTGTATTCATGCTGGTTTGAAAAGCCCTGTTCTTAGAGAAGAAAAAACCATGCCTCCTCACAGACTGCCAAGTCCCACAGCCCACCACGTCTGCTCCCAAGACACAGGCCTGTCCAGAGCCCCTGCTGAGGGAAACCCACCTAGGCCACTTTTTCCCACAGGTGGCCCTGCTTTGTACCTGTGCCCCTGCCCCCCAGCCATGGCATATTGAACCAGGAGGAGGCCCCCAGCCCAAGGCCAGCCAATCAGAGCATTGGCTGGTGTTCCAGGAGGTGGCCTGGCACAGAAGATCTGCTCAGAGAGAACTGACAGTGAATCAACTACTCTGATTATCAAGGAAATTCTGAATTGCTCAAGTGAAATGACCACCCAACGAACAATTTCTCAACGAAGTGGATTTATATAGGACAAAATAGAAAGGCGTGACAATATGAAATGTATTGTGCACAAAGGCCTAGATTTAAGACAAGAGCTGATGTGACCTGAAACTCTGTGAGCAGGAGAGTGCCTGGGGGGCCATGTTGCTGCTCAGGCCAGAGAAAGGTCCTTGTCTCCTGGCTTCAGTCTTTCATGGCTAAGCCTCCCTTTGAATGTTAGTTACCTATGCCCATATAACAAATTGCCCCAAAACTTAATGGCTTAAAACAAGCCTGGACATTGTTAATTCACTCAGTTCTGTGGGGTAGGAAAGCAAGACAGGCTTAGCGGAGTTGTTGTGGCTCAGGGTTTCTCATGAGGCTGCAGCTGCTTGAAGGCCTCACTGGATTTGGAGAATATTATTGGTTGAATTGTGTCTTCCCCCGAAAAGATACGTTATAGTCCTAACCCTAGTAGCTCAGAATGTGGCCTTATTTGGAAATAGGGTCTTTGCGATGTGATGAAGAAGATAAGGTCATGCTAGAGTAGGTGAGTCCTTAATCGTGTATGACACGTCCTTCTCAGAAGAGAAGACACACAGGGAGAAGATGGCTATGTGACAACAGGGGCAGAGACCCCCTGGTAGAGGCAGGGATGCCTCTACCACCAGAAATTAGAAGAGGTGAGGAACGACCCCCACTCCCACAACCCACTCCTGCAGGTTTCAGAAGAAGCATGGCCCTGCCAACACCTTGATTTTGGATTTCCAGCTTCCACAACTATGAGACTGTAGTTTCTGTTGTTTTAAGCCACCCAGTTTAGGATACTTTGATATGCCAGACCTGGGAAACAAATAGAGAGGATCTCTTGCAAAATGGCCCAGTCACACAGTGGCAAGTTGGTGCTGGCTGCTAGCAAAAGGTCTCAGTTCCTCACCTGGGCCTTTCCATAGGAATAGCTGAGTGTCCTCATGATGTGGCCCCTGGCTGCCCTGAAGCACGTGATCCAAGAGAGCACAGTGGAGCCATGATGTCTTCTATGATCTAGTCTCAGAAGTCACACTGCTGCATCATTTGGCACCATCCTATTGAGTTACACAGGTCAGCCCTGCTCCCCATGGAAAGAGACAGAGGGTATTAGATGCCACAGGTGCTCACTGGGGACCATCCTGGAGATGGGCTACCTCTCTGCTCAGTCCACATCACAGCTCTCCTGTTTCTCATCTCCCAGCAGGTTCCTGTTCCTCAGGTCAAAGTTCACATTCTTCACAGCCTCTGCCTGCCTAACCTTTGAGCTCACATGATGGCCCTTACCCTGAACCTGGGTCTCTGGTCCAGCCATGGCCACTTCTCTAAGCTCCTCCAGTATGCTGAGCACAGTCCGGCCTCTGTACTCTTGTCTGCTTGAAATGGCACCTTCTGATGAACAGTCATCCATCCTTCAAGGTGTACTCTGTCATCACAGCTTGTGAATCTTCACTTATTGAACTGGTGTTTCCCATTCCCAGTTCGCAGAGACCTTTCTCACTGAACTATTTAAGTTCTCTGATAGTGAGTGACAGCTCTGTGCTAGATGCATGTAAATGGACTCTCTTAACCTCCATGAGCCCTAGAGAAAGTTTGCTACAGCTATTTTGCAGATGGGAAAACAGAGATATTAATGAATTGCCCACATTCTAATATGTGCTGACTCTTGGATTTGCATCTTCTTTACAGTGACTCCATGGAGATCCACCCTCTAAGACCAGAGCCAGGGACCTATTCATCTTTTGTCTCTGCAGCATTCAGCATGGCGCCCTCTTGGCTAACAAAGTCTGTGCTCTATACTTGCTGACTGCTGAATGAATGAATGGGCAGTCGCAAAGGATGTTTATAACGTGTAGATAGGCCAAGAAAAAAAAACATTATTTCCTTTTGGAAAGTTTTTTTATTTTCGTGTTTAGTACTGAAGTAAAACAAAAATCTAACGGCTGCGCCATTAAAAATGAAATTACCAATAGATGGACTCTAGGCATCATGCATATATACTTTTTTCACAGATAACTTTTCTTCTAATTTTCCTTCTCCTTCTCCCCTTCATCTTTTTTTGTTTGGCAAAAAAGAGAATTTATTAACTCATAACTGGAGAGTCTGAGAAGAAATTCTCTTCAGGCATTTCTGGATCCAGGGGCCGAAATGGTGTCTCTGGACACAGTATCGCACTCTCTACTCTTCATCATTTTCTCCCACAGACAGTCTCTCTGTGTAGTTGCAACAATGGCCATGACAGTTCTAGGCTTCATCTGCCCCTCAGCGACTCCAGAAAGGAAGCTCCTCTTTTGACACAGTCCCTAACAAGTCTCGGAACTGAACTGCCTTGGCTCTTGCTTAGGCCACATGCCCCTCCTGAATCAATGATTGGCCAGAGGGCTGTGATATTCTGATTGGCCAGCACGGAGTCACATGGCTACCATTAGGGGGCAGGATGATAGGCTTAGCTCTGACCGGAAATTCATGGACTGAGGGGTGGGCACTGTCTCACAGGGGAACACGGGGACAGCGTTTCAGGGGACAGGGTTTTAGTCAGGCCCAAACAGCAAATGTCCATCAGGCTTGCTTCCTCTGAGCAGAAATTTTGCTGCAGTGCCAGTCGGGTATTGCTGCAGTCAG